ACTAAAATTCTAACGGGCTGCGTCTTCCGCATCCATCCACTCCACTGAAAACTTCAAAGATCGGATGATTTATGACCAAAAAAAAAAAAAAAAAATGATACTGCGATGTAGCCAGGAAGAGAGGATCTTGTAAGTGCAGGAAGCTCACTTGGATATGCATATAGAAAATAATAATAATCTTAATTACCTCTTCAGAGCTTGTAAGAAAATGAATTTCTAAAATAGGATATAGCTCTAACTGTGAAAGTAGTAAGTTTTATTTATAAATGTCAAGGAAATCATAGAACATCTTTGTGACCTTAGGATGAACAAAGATTTTTAAATAGAATACAGAGAGAGACAGAGAGACAGAGAGAGACAGAGACAGAGAGGGAGGGAGAGAGAGAGAAAGAGAGAGGAACAGATACATTTCACTAAAAGTGAAGATTCACCTGCCCAGGGGGCTGGGGATTTAGCTCAGTGGCATAAGCGCCTTGCAAGCAGGCAGTCATGAGTTCGATCCCTGGTACCGATAAAAAGGAAAAAAAGACAAAAAAAAAAAAAAAAAAAAGATTCACCTGCCCAGGTAAAAAAGCAAGACAACTTGGGAAAGAAATTTGCAATACATACCCTAACCAAGACATTGTATCTAAAACACATAAAGAATTCTTAATAACCAATAAGAAAAAAAAAGTTCAATTTTTTTAAATGGGTAAATGACTTTAAACAGGTATTTTGTAAGCAAGGTTGTCTAAATGGCCAATAAAAGATGAAAATATGATCAATCATTAGTTGTCATTTCTGGAAAGGAAACTGAAGCCACACTGAGATACTGTGGAATACTCATCAGAATTGCTAAAATTAAAAAAATACACAATAACAAGGGTGGGCAAAGATGTGGGGCAACTGAAACACTCTCAGACTGTTAGCAAAAATGAAATGAGTTACATTCACTTTGGAAAACCTCTTAGATCCACTAAAGTTGAATACATATTCTCTATTCAGCAATTTTACTGGACGCAGCATCCTTAGACATGCACTAGAGCATTCAGAAAAGCTCTATTTGTCAAAGACCAGATATTTATTTTTTTAATTTTTAAAGATTTTCAAAAATTTAAAAACATTTTTAAATTTTCATTTTAAAGAGAAAAAACAAGAGAAAAAAAAAACAAACAACAACAAAAAACCCAAAACAATAGTAATGTAGCACTTCAAGACAAGATGATAGGAATTTAACAATAGTTGTTATATTGCATATTGTTATCTTCAAAAGGTTGCTCAGATCAGCAGATAAAGGTATGTAGAATTGATCAAACAATATGAGCACTAACTGTTCCTATCAATGAACTAATAGAATGAGTACAATTATCTTAGCTATCATATATACATACACACACATACACACACATATATATATACATATTTATATTTTTTCTTTTTCGTTTCCTTTCCCCCATCCTAGTCACTCTTTCCCTTTGAACACTTTCTCTCCCTTTTGCAATATCTAGTTTCTTACACTAGGGAGACTACATGGTGTCGCACATGCAAGTCTGATTTATTTCACTTGTACGACCAAATATTTATTAATAGTGTAATAGATGAGTGAATAGTGGTAATGACATGTAATAAAAATGATCAAACCATCGCTAAAGCATAACACCACAGAGGAATCTCACACACAGCGCTAGAACAGAAACGAAATGTGATGTCAAAAAAGAAAACCCCGTACGAACTGACCTAAAGTTCAAAGCTAAGCAAGATGAATGGATCAGCTCAGGGGTGGGAACCTCAGTTTTGCTGGGAAGGTAGTAACTGACAAGTGCCAGGGTAATGCTTTGGGGGTACAAGCAGTGTTCCACTTCCTGTGGGCTGTTCAGCCAGGTGTACTTGGTACTTTGTGACACACACGCACATTCTCTTCCATATATAAAAGTTATATAAAAATTTACTTTAAAAAGAATAACCACAAGTTGTATTTCTTTAAAAGTAAACATTTGACTCTAGAGAAATTAACTTAGAAAAACATATCGTCATGTTTTCTTTTATCTCACCTGGTTAATGTTATCTGGAATATGTGATATCCAGCTATAAACGATGCCAATCTTGAAAGACTTTGCTTTCCGGATCCACCAACACCCACCAGCAACGCATTTCCACATGAAGCCCGAATTATTCGTGAAATCTGTTTTGAAATTTTTAAAGTGTTCATTAGAGGAAAGGATGTAGCTACATTTTTTTGTACAAGAGTCCAAGGTTTGACCAGAATTTTATAGATTGAATTAGACATCTTTCTTGTAATTATATCCTTGGAATTTAAAATTTTTTGCATTGGATTACTTATCATAAATTTTTTTGTCCATATATCATGAACAAATTAGTTTTAATCCTTTCATAACTATTCTATGTATTTGTATAATTTTATTATTTTTAGATTCAAAGGATGCTAATTTGCAGAAGATGTAAAAACAGGTTAGAACTGTTTGCTTATTATCCATCAGTAATACAGTGAATCTCTACAACACTGTCCCTGTCATATCTCCACCAACAAAGCAGTTTGTTTTATTTTGCAACAGAGTCTCACTCTGTAGTTCAGGCTGGCCTTGAACTCACTATGTAGTCCAGGCTAGTCTAGAACTCACAGTAATCTTCCTGCCTCAGCCTCCCAGCATGCACCACCGTACCTAGACAACAAAGCATTTTTCACTCTGTATTTTTTTAAAGAGAATAAAACCAAACAAAATAAAACAGAATAAAGCCAATCAAAACAAAAGCGTGAACACAATACAGGACTTCAAAACAAGATAATACGAAATCAACAATGGCTGCCATGATATCTCTTGTTATCTTCAAAATAGCTGCCTATACCATCAGACATAAAATCAAACAAAACAGAATAAAATCAGGCAAAATAAAACAATGAAAGCAATAAAGGGTTTCAAAACAAGATAATAAAAAATCAACAATGGCTACCATAATATACCTTGTTATCTTTGGAATAGCTGCCCAAAACATCAGATATAGTAAAATCAAACAAAACAAAATGGAATAAAACCAATCAAAACAGAACAATGAAATGATACAGGGCTTCAAAAAAAGATAATAGGAAATTAACAATGGCTACCACCTTCCCTTTTCAGACATTTCCTCCCCTTTCTCTTCCGCAATGTCTATTGTACATTTTGGATCCTACTAACTCTTCCGTTTTTTATATCAGGGACACAACGCAATGTTCACCCATGTGAGCCCGAGCCGTTTCACCTGTGAGCATGATCTCAAGTTGCATTCATTTACTTACAAGATCCTTGAGATTATCCTTCTTTCTAGCTGAGTAGTTTTCCATTGTATAAACATGCTGTATCTTTCCTACCCATTCTGCAGGTGATGGGACAACTTCCCCTGCTTTTTGTTCTGGTTCCCTGTCACATGGAGCAACAAAAGAGACTGAGTCTCCTTTGACTTTCAGTCTATGAATTTCCTTTTGAGCTCAATGTTTCTTGTATAGCACACATTGATGGACCTTGTTTCTTGATTCACTCTGCCTGTGTTTCTTTTTATTGATGAATTGCGGCCATCTGCATTAATGGTTGTGGCCAGCATGCACTGGCTCCCCTCTGCCTTGCTATCTGCCTGCCATTTGCTCCCTATTTTTCCCTTGTTCAACTGCCTGCTTCACTCAGTGATCCCCCTCTGTCGCCATTCCTGGAACCATGGTCATTTTTATCTCTCCCTAGAATATTCCTCAGTGTTATCTGTAGGGTTGGTTTGGTGGTCATGAATTCCTTCAGTTGTTCTTTGCATTGGAAGTATCTTGTTTCTCCATTAATTTTGACAGTTTTGCAGGGTATATCAATCTGAGTTGGAAGTTGTTTTCTTACAGGATTTGAAATACTTCAAGCTCTTTTTGACCTGATGTTTTGTGTTGAGACATCTGTCATGATTCTGAAGGGTTTTCCTTTATAGGTGATCTGTTTCTTTTCTCTTACAGCTTTTAATGTTCTGTTCTTGTGGTCTTTCTGGTATCTTGATTATTGTATTGTCTGGGTGTAGATTTATTTTAGTTACAGCTAGTTGGAGTTCTATATGTCTCATTTATCCGTATGTCAAGTCCTTTCCCCATGCTTAGGAATTTTTCTGCTTATATCATTTGTATTGACCCCTGCTTTTTTGCTGACACCTGTCATTCTTAAGTTTTTTTTTTTTTGTTTTGTTTTGTTTTGTTTGCATCATCTTGCAGTCATTGAATTGTTACTTCTTGGATCCTTGTTATTTTTAAGAGATCTTTCCTTTCTCAACTGCTAGCTGCAGTCCTGTCTTCAAGGTCTGAGAGTTGATCTTCAGTTTTTTTCAAGTGGTTTTGCTAGATTTCAATGGAGTTTTTAATTTCCTGACAAACTCTTTGAATCAGTTCCGTGCATTCCAATTCTTCCCTATATTGTTCACTGAAGGTTTCCTTCATTCTCCTGTGCTCCTTTTTTAAAAAAAATCTGTATCTTCTTTAGATATGCTCAGCAACTCTTTCACTATGTTTGTCATTTCTTCTTTGACCAGAGATACTATTTCTGATCTGATTTCTTTTACAGACTCATGAAATCGTTTCTTTACTTTTGTTGGCATCGTCCCAGAAATTTCAGGTGTGCGATTTCTAATTTCTTCCATGGGCTTGTTCTGTGTGGGCTGGAAGCCACAGATTGCCTTGTACTCTTTCGTATTGACATTTTCCTGGTTTCCTCTGCTTCCTCTGGGTGAGCAAGTTGTGGGGTCCCAGGCACTGCCACGCTGGCTACCATCTGCGGTGTAGGAGAATGGGTCAGGCACCTGGTTTCTCCTAACCTAGGTTCACAGGGAGATGGTGGGGCATGGAGTAGAGTTCTTCAGACACCTGTGGCTTCTCTGAGGCAAGACTGGCTGGTTCTCTTGGCCCATGCCAGCTACAGGTCCCTGATGGTGGCAACTGGGCTCATAGGGTTAAGGTCAGCTGCTGCTCCTCCTGGCCCAGGCTGGCTACCCACAGGAGGTCCCCTTAAAATATGGAATCTTCATGGAATCGTCATGAGTTTGCGTGTCACCCTTGCTCAAGCACCATGCTATCATCTTTGTATCATTCCAATTTTAGAATATCTACTGCCAAAGCAAGCATCAGGAAAGCATTTTTAAAACTACCAAAATTCTACAGAAGTTGGGGGCAAAAGAGCATTTATGGAAAAGGCTCAGAGAGACCGGCTTCACTCAGTATTACTTTTCTAAGACTGATTTTCCCAGTGAGGATAAGACTCATATCATGGTCCAAATCTTATGCAGGCCATTTGAAGACTTCTAAAAATGCTATCTTTTACATTAATGTCACAAATTAGGAAGACAATTACTGAACCCATTATCACCACTAACTTTTTTTTAAATGCATGCTTAACAGATGGCAGCAGAGGCATACTGCCTTGGTATGCATTGATACTATCGTTACATTTTTAAAATATGTTAATTTTATGCATTCTTATACCTACAACAGGATCATCAGCTCCTAAGACCTGGCCATGGTGAGTGCTCAGTAATTACTTGGTGAATGCATGAATGAGGAAACCACCTTAGAACATCTGGACTCTCACCTCCCTATCTATGTCATCACTTAAGAACTCACTGTCAGACAACCAGTAACAGAAACAAACTTTCTGTAATTCTTCAGGCTTTGCATCAAAACATGCTCCTTTTTGGCTCCACATCTGACTAGCTCCATCAGTCCTCTGTACCTGCCTTACTCCCCATCAGTTTGTCCATCGTGTGTACCCCAATCACAAGTCTGAAGTTTGTAAAGCAGCATTTTTTCCTATGTGGGGAACCAGAAATAACAAAATGTAATTCCAGGTAACAAAATGTAAGTCCTTCACTGAACTCTTCAGTTTCCTTTTAGAAAGACAAAGCTCTTTGACTAAACATGTGAAAAGCTCTGAACACAAAAACCATGAATTTGTAATGGAAAACATTTGCTCTTGTGTAGGTGGATTCAGACAAAGGATGTCCTATTAAGCTATTACTTCCTGAGACAGTGACTGATCTATGTTTACTCTTCTATATGCCATGTGACAATGTGTATTTATATTCTTTCCAATTTATCTGTGAAATTTACTAAGCGTCAACACCACCTATTTATACCAGGGAATAGTCAACAGAACCTTAATAAGATGAGTCATCGCATCTTTAAAAAACACCAGGTCAAGAGACGTTCCTCTAATGACTTCATTGAACTGCCTCTGGTAAAACTGAAGTTTTTCAGCTAGAAATTCAAATGATGGTATCTATGGGTAGAAAGAAAGAAAAGAATATGTAGTATGCAGATATTTGTTAAAGTCTCAATTGTCAAGGCACTCAAAATTATTTTTTAAAATTATTTTAGGTTTTCCAAAGCCATATATTAATAAACTATAACAATTTTTTAAAATTCTTAATCTGCTTTTTATTACTGTTTATGGCTTTTTTAAAACATACAGAATTCTCACTTGTTTGCTGAGCCCCTAATTCACCAGTGTTTGTTGTGAAATAAAAACTTACCCACTTTGTTATAAAAATTGTTCCTTCTCATTTAATTCTTTATTCTAATGCATTCTAGAATTACCTAGGTTAGGTGACCTTGTTTTGGGGGGGGGTTGTTTTTGTTTTTGTCTTTTGAGACAGGGTCTCGCTATGCAGTTCAGGCTGGCCTTGAGCTTACTTTGTAGCCCAGGCTAGTCTCGAACTCACAACGATCCTCCTGTCTCAGCCTCCCGAGTGCTGGCATTACAGGTATGAGCCACCATGCCCAACGACCTTGTTTTTTTTTAAACTCTTTTGAATCTTATTTCATATTTCATTAAGCTTATAAATTAATTTAGGAAAAATGATGTATTTTTATTTAATTAAGTAAGGTTTTGATCACGTTAATTCCAAAATGTTTTATCTAAGTATTGCTGTTGTTGAATGAAATACTCGTGTATTATTTTCTGTGTTGTGATTGCTGCCAAAGCCTGGCAAGCTTTCTGTGAAGGGTCAGACAGTAAATGTCGTAGGCTTCACAGTCCTGACAGTCACTCTTATGACCTTCTACTCTCCATCCCTGCAGTGCTGAACAGACACAGACAACAGGTAAGCAAAGGGGAATGGCTGTGTTCCAATACTACTTTACTCAGGAACTTTACTGAGCTAGTTCTGTTATTTACGTAGTTTATTTGAGTTCCAGATTGTTTCCATGTGTCATAAGGTATTAGCCATCTTTTGATTTTCTAAGTTTTAAAAATGTAAAAACGGTTCTTAGCTCATAGTGTAACAAAAACAAGCAGCGAACTAGAGATGGCCCATAGACTGTAGCTTGCCATTCTCTGGTACAGAAGATAGTTTTCTGGGGTTTTTTTGTTGTTGTTGTTGTTATTGTTGTTTCATTTTAGTTTGGGGGTTTTCTTTTCTTTTTTTTTTTCTTTTTGTCTTTTTGAGACCAAGGTCTCGCTATGCAGTTCAGGCTGGCCTTGAGCTCACTTTGTAGCCCAGGCTGGTCTCGAACTTACAGCAATCCTCCAGCCTCAGCCTCAGTGCTGAGATTACAGGTGTGCACCAACACCCAGCAGAAGATAGTTATTGAGTTGCGTATTTTGTTTATATAATATTTGATCATCTTTCTGCATTCTTATTAAACCAATTCAAAATTCCTTTGGGTTATACAATTAAATAGTCATATCTTCCACCGATACTTTGGTTTTATCCCTGTCTTGATAGTGATGGCTATTTTTGTCATTTTACTCCACTGTCTAAAACTTTCAAAGCAACAGTAAATGAAGCGGGGATGGTGGGCACACTTTGTATCTGCCTTCAATAAGATTGTTTCCAAGTTTCTCTGATGAAAACATTTTACTTGGAGTATGATAAATGTGAATCACAACACATTCATAAATTAGAAGTCATGGCACCTCCACAGCGAAACCAGTGCAGAGAGAAGCAGCCAGTGAGTGACCTGAGGGGTCCTAAGAGATGAAAACACACACCAGTTCATAGACCTTGGGTACTTCAAAGACACTGTCCTCTGGCTCGTCGCCTGTTGGTTCAGGCATCTCACGGAGGAAATCCACAAAGTATGGCTCAGGAAGGATACAGGAGGCTACTTCGGGGCTGATATTTTCTTCCACTGCACGGATAAGATGTACATTAAACCACTGCTCGTCTTCGGGAGTTATAAATCTGAAAAAAAGATACACTAGTAAGGATGCAAAATAGGGAAGCATGTTTTCTAACTGAACATGGGCACGCCTCCCTCAACCTGTTTGCAGACCTAAGCCCGGACCTGCCTCACATCCCTATCCTTTTTTTTTTTTTTTTTTTTTTTATCGGTACCGGGGATCGAACTCACAACTGCCTGCTTGCAAAGCAGGTGCTTATGCCGCTGAGCTAAACCCCCAGCCCATCCCTATCCTTACAGAACGTGGGATGAGTCACTTAGGTGAGATCAGTGGGCCCCGACACTTCTGCAGGAGTATAGGGCTGAGAGCAACAGCGAGTGTCCTTTTTCTGAGTTTATGGACACAGCATCTGAAGGTCCTTTGCAGACTTACACAGGAGGAGGAAGAGCATAAACAGCTGACCAGTACCACTATCTCGTGATCCATACTCGACAACTTTGTAAGGCTGACCCTATCATGCATATGTTAATGATGAGGATGCTGCAGCTGAGAAGGTGCCTGGATTTAATGAGGTGAAAGCAGATTTCACCATGAGAAAACCTACCCAGAGTTCACAATCTTTGTTTTGGTGCCAGGGATCGAACTCACTACCTCATACTTAGCAGGTTCTTGTGCCACTGAGCTAAATCCCGGCCCCAGAGTTAACAATTTTATAACATATGTGTAACTCAATTTTGCTGTTCAATTCATGATTTATGAAAATTTACTGTTATAATACTTCTCAAGGAAATTGGCAGAGCTTTATTTATTGTTTCTTCTCTTTTTAGTGTACTAGGATGTACACCCAGGGCATCAAGGCATACGGCTGGGCCAGCACTCTACCACTGAACTATGTCCCCAGCCCTTTTCATGCTGTATTTGAGAGAAGGTCTCCGTAAGTTGCACAGGCTGGCCCTGAACTTGTGATCCTTTAGGCACAGCTTCCTGAGCAGCTGGTACAGGCGTGCACCACCATGCCCAACTGGCAGAGCACTTTTCAAGGTGATCAGTTCTCTTTAAGGCTACCACTGCCTCATAGCCCCTAGGAAATTCACACGGTGCTTTTTCCACTACTCATCCGAGTAGGAACGCAAGAGTTAGTCTGCAAGTTAGGAGAGGAAAGAGTAATGCAAACAGATCTGCTGCTACTATGAAGTGGTTGCTATCAAGCAGGGACATTATGATTCATAAAGAGACTTGTTAAGCTGGAGCAAATGAGTCTAGATGAGATCATTTTCACGTGACTAAATTAGCCCAGATCTGCGTATAACATAGTAGCCATTAGTGACATGTGGTTACTTATGTTTACATCTAAATAAAATTAGAATTAAATGAAATTTTTTTAAAAAGAGTCTGTAAATATAAACTCCTTAAGTCATTCATGTAAGTTCCAGTGCCAGCATTTATACCTGTCTGCAATCACTCGATTGCATTCATGTTTGAAAAGCGACATGAGAACAGGGATTGAGTCACACTCCTCAGCTTTTATGGTTAACATCCCTTGCCAGATTCTGGAAAGATCACGGAGATTGAAGATGTAATGAAATTTAGAAGGTGTCGGCAGCATCTTCACCTGGAGACAAAACAAAACAAACAAACAACAACAAAAAAAAAAAAACTTAGGGCTGTCAATTAGGTTTCAAATAAAATTAGAAGTAGGAGGGCTCTGAGAATGAGTCTATTTCACAACTTCCATCTCAGATAAAACAGGCTGAGAAATCAATCAAGAGTAAGTTTATATTTTTATCCCAGTACTGACAGAAAAAATACATCATAAATAAAACAAACATGGTGTTTAAAAGACCATAACCTCTTGGGTAGGCTAGAGTCAAGAATAATGCCCTAGATGCATATTCCAAGGCCTTGGTTATTTTCGAAAGTAAAAAACAGTAACCGGCTGGTGACACAAAGCACACTCCCACATGATTAATTTAGGAGAGCGCTTGCTTCTCCGCCTCCTCC